TTCTGGTGTGTCAGCCACTCCTCCCAATTTCATGTCATCAGCCTCTTGGGGGGGAAAAAAAAAAAAAAGTTTTATGTTTCTCTAAATTTAAGAAATAGCATCAAGCTGTTGTCCTGTGAATTACTCCCACCTCCCTTTTCTGTTCCCCCCACCCTGAAATATAAGCAAGTGTGTTATAACCTCCAAATAGCTAACAAAAGGGTCTAGACAAATGTTGGGTAAGCTCTGGCTGTTCTGTCTAGTCTATCTGAGCTCTCGCACAACAGACCTTGCTTTTAAAGCCTTTAGAAGAAGAGATGATCTGACTATGCAGTGATTAAACTATAGGCAGACATATTATCTCATGCATCTGCTGAGCAATCTTGAGGGAGATGCGGGCCTGTGGAAGAAATCTTGTTACCTTATTTTCATTTTTCCTTTGCAGCTCATGTATGCGTTTAGCATTAAATTGACAATAATCCCCATCTGTTATTAAAGTCAAGGTCGATGATACCTATGAATGTTCTGAAGACAGCATTCATGCTTTTTTAGCTTGATGGAAAAAGCTTTTAGACGTTCTTTACATTACAGTAGCAATTGTTGCTTCTTAGTAGTAATCAAAAAAAAACCACAAAAAACAAACCACAAAACTTAGAGGTTTGGGATAGCTCATGTATTACAGAGGTGAGAACTTGAAAATAATTTGAAATATGATAGAAATGTCACTTTGTGCAAAAGCCAGAAGCTGAATTCAAGTAAGATCTCAGTGTGCAAAACTTGTAGATGATTGTAAATGTAAAAGTAACAATTGGATATTGCTGCAAGCCAGAGGTATTAAATGTGCTTTGGTAAGACTTGATTGCATACTGTTTTAAAGCTTGTATTTTTCCGTGTGTCCAACTTGGGGTTGTTCTCAAGATACAATAAAATGAAGTCAAATATCAATATGCTAGAATTTTATTGCCCTACAGTATAAACACACAAGGAATTTCCTCGTTTCTTTTTTTTTTTTTCAGGTTTTGACACAGATGGTCTGCCTTCTGCAGTGTGGCCAGGCGGAGAAACAGAAGCTCTCACACGATTGGAAAGACATTTAGAACGAAAGGTATGTTTCAAATCATTGCAAGTATGACATACCTGAGAAACACAGTTACTCTTTGCAATGAAGTATAAAAGGAATTGGGCAGGTTTTTTTTTGTTGGTGGTTTGTTTTGTTGTTGTTTTTTTTTTAAAATCAAACCCACAAACTTTAACTCAAGACTTCCATGTAATGGTGTAAATCAAGTTGCAGGTTGTCTTTAATATGGAGAAAGACAGTTATCCTATTTTCTCATAAGAAAAAATTTTAATTACTTGTTCTTTGGAGGTAATTTTACTGGAATCGTACTTCTTTTAAATTTCAAGGGGTATTCCTGTAAAAGCTAATGTATTCCTAGTTATCGAGGTTTCCTCTGTATTTAAAAGAAAGGGATAGATAGTTCTGGAAGACAGTTCATGCCTTCTGCATTGAGATTAGTTCCCTTCTAGTGATTCTGCTGATTCAGAAGAAACCCCTGGGTATCATAGGTAACATGATTGTCTGTCCAGTGTCTGGGTTCGGTTGTAGGCAGTGCATGATTTCTCCCTCTGTGTTTACAAGTTGCCTTTAGTCTGATATTGCTTGTGTGGCTTTTGTTTTGGTTTTTTTGGTGTTTTTTTAAGGCTTGGGTAGCGAACTTTGAAAGACCACGAATGAATGCAAATTCCCTTCTGGCGAGCCCTACAGGGCTTAGTCCCTACCTCCGCTTTGGCTGTTTGTCCTGTCGCCTCTTTTATTTCAAGCTAACGGATCTGTACAAAAAGGTATGTTTTCTACATAGTCAGGTACACATTCTTAGATGCCATGTTTTTTCCTTGCTTCTCCTAATAAAATGTTTTCCTTTAATGATGGTCTCCAGGTAAAAAAGAACAGCTCCCCTCCCCTCTCTCTCTATGGCCAGCTGTTATGGCGTGAATTTTTCTACACAGCGGCGACAAACAATCCACGATTTGATAAAATGGAGGGGAATCCTATCTGTGTTCAAATTCCATGGGATAAGAATCCTGAGGCTTTGGCCAAATGGGCAGAAGGCAGGACAGGTTTTCCTTGGATTGATGCAATTATGACACAGCTTCGCCAAGAAGGCTGGATTCACCATTTAGCCCGGCATGCTGTAGCATGCTTCTTGACTCGAGGTGACCTCTGGATTAGCTGGGAAGAAGGAATGAAGGTACTGTTTCTTATTCTTGAATTTCTTGAAGCGTCTGTTAAAAGTTTCAGACAGTTATTCTAGAATTATTACTGTGTGGCGCAAGTTGCGTTTTAAACCTTAAACTGTGGCAAACCCCAAAATAATTTCTGATAAACCAGTGGTGCTGAAGTTTTTTGCCTGTTAAATGCCCTCTCTTATCATCACGGAAGGATTTGGGTTGGAAGAGACCTTAAGATCGAGTTCCAACCCCCCTGCCATGGGCAGGGACACCTCCCACTAGACCAGGTGCTCAGAGCACCTTCCAGAGATGAGGCATCCACAACTTCCCTGCGTAATCTGTTCCAGTGTCTCACCACCCTCCCAGCAAATATACTTTTGTAATATCTAATCTAAACCTACCCTCTTTCAGTTTGAAACTGTTACCCCTTGTCCTGTCACTGCATTAATATGAGAATATTGGAGTGTTCTTGCAGTCAGAAGAGGTGTATGATCTTTTTAAATTTGAGACTTCTTTGTAAATATTGGCAAACAAACATGGATTACTCTTGTAATTAAGATTTCTTCTATGTCACACTTTGTGAAAAGTTACTGTTCATGTTTTGTGTCTGCTTACCTGCAAAGGGAAAACACTATGAGAATTAAAGGGAGGAAACTAAAAACTGAAAATGTCCTTTCAGCAATTTCTGTCCCTTTGCCCAGTGTTATAAGCGTGAGTAGGGGCAACACAATTTAGCTGGTTTCAGTGCAATTAATTTCTATGCAGGTATCCAAGAGATGCTGAAGTTCAAATTACAAATGTCAGTCCTTTCTTGAAAAGAAAGGAAGAATTTAATCTCAGCCTTTGAATCAATTTTTTTTGTTTAGAAGGGTAGCACATCTTTTGCTGGGCAATGTTAATCAATTAAAAATAGCATTTCATTTTTGAAATCTAAAAAAGAATTTTACTTGCCATCTGGATTGTGACCTTATATTGGTATATGTGTATAAACTTACAAAACTTCACTTTTCTTCATGAAACAGTTGTAAACAAACCTTTCATTTGAAAAAAAATAATCTTGGTTACACAACAACATAAGCTGCTTTAGGAATTTTCCTTTTGCAGCTCATAGATAAAGACATCAAAGATGCACATACCTAGGTAACTCAGCCAAACAGCAAAGCTGTTTATTACCGATAAATGCCAACTTGGTTTTACTTCCGAAATAATAAAAATACGTGGAGGGCCCAGATTTCTGCAGTGGAAGAATGTTTAATTCATAACACATCCGTAGCTAGCAAAAGGTAATCTCGCCTTCCATGGTGATGTTATTTCCAAAGTCTTATTACATGGCAGCATCTAGTGGAACAGTTGCGTGCTAACACTTGATGTTCATCTAAAGTTTTTTTGTTATGTTATTAGTCACTTCGTTTTAAAATGTGGGGGGTTTTTAAAGTGTTTTAAGGTAATTTTTTTTTAAAACCCACTTTTTCCCAAATAGTTGCAGGAATTGAGACAAATACGCTTTTGTAACACTTTATTCTATAGAATGAATGCATTATTGAATATAGAGATCCTTGTTTAATACTATTACCTTATTTAGACTTTATATTGGAATAGTATTAGTTTAAGATGGGTAGCAGTAGGAAGATGTTAAGTTTTTTGATGTCTTAGCATAAAGAAAGATCATTGTTTCTTTGAAACACTTGGAGATGTTGCAAGTTTGAAAGGAAAAACAGAAGTTGCAAAGATATGTATTAAATAAGTATCTGTTCTGAAAACTTTCTTGGTGCGCTCTTTTCGTAAAACTTGTTCTTCAAAGAGTAGGGCTTCTCTTTATTTCTTGTTAGCCTTCAATGCTAGTGATCTGAGCAGAGAAACTTCTTTTTATGCAAGTTAGTATTGTCTGTGTTAATAATTAAAAAACAATCAGTGCTGGAAACATGAATGTTTTGCAACTGTTGAGCTCCAAATTTGAAGTAAAACCCTCATAAATCTTGAATTTTATCATAGGCTATTTCTAATATAATGGAGTAGCAATTACCAGAGAATTTATTTTTTTTTTCTTCAGATCAGAGGTAATTATCTGTCCCACCATTTTTCAGCATGCTTGGTGGTTCCAGGAATTTACGTGTGCATCCTCAAAACTGTGATTTACTAATTTAACTATTTGCCTTCAAGAATACAACTTCTGGATGTTTGTTCTACCCTTGAAACTCTTGATTTTTACTCTTGGGCCTCCTTGCACAGTTGAGGCATTCTGAGTGGCAGCTTGAGTATCTTCCCTTTTTTCTGGAAGTTTGTAAAGCTTGCTCTCTTGTAATGTGATGAAGCAACTCTTCTGAAAGCAGCAAATGCCACTTGCAAGCTGTCAGGCTGCAGCCATCCCTTGGGGATATTTTTTTTTTTTTTTAAGTATGTGTTTATGCAAGGAGATGTAACTTTTTGGTTGTAGCTCTCAGAGATGTCTGCAAGATTTTTTTACAGGATGAAAACCAAACATGCTATCGCACTTTTTTTTCTTGAGTTTGGCACCTGGACGTGTTCTTGCGTGACCTACTGTAGGTGATCCTGCCCCAGCAGGTTTGGACTAGATGATCTTTTGGGGTCCCTTCCAACCCCTGACATTCTGTGATTCTGTGATTTGGGTAAGTATTTGCAATCGAGTACTATGTGTTCTGTAAGTGTTGCCAGGCTAGAAAGGGTGTTGCTGCATTGAAGAGCTGGATTTCCTCTACTAAACTCAGAAACTCGGAACATTTCCTGAAAAAGGAGGTGTCTCAAAGGTGTGCCATTGTCAGACTAACTTGTTGCTCTAATTTCTTAAGGTCTTTGAAGAGCTCTTACTTGATGCGGATTGGAGCGTGAACGCTGGAAGCTGGATGTGGCTGTCCTGTAGTTCCTTTTTTCAGCAGTTTTTTCACTGCTACTGTCCAGTGGGTTTTGGCAGAAGAACTGACCCAAATGGAGATTATATCAGGTAACTCGCAACCAAGAAACTGCAGCAATTCATGGATGTTACTTAAACTGTGAAGTGGCTTTATACTTAAAGCCATGTTTTAATTCTTTATTTTTTTAGACGATATTTGCCAGTACTTAGGGGTTTCCCTGCAAAATACATCTATGATCCTTGGAATGCCCCAGAGAGCATCCAGAAGGCTGCAAAATGCATTATAGGAGTTAATTATCCTAAACCAATGGTAAATCATGCAGAGGCAAGCCGTCTGAATATTGAGAGGATGAAACAAATCTACCAGCAGCTTTCACGATACAGAGGACTGGGTAAGGCTACAGTTTTTTTGGAAGTTTCTTTTTTTGTTAAACTAGTTCTTCTGTGTGTTCTGATAGTCTTGTACAGATAGGTTTTAATACCAATAATCAGAAAATTGCTGTGGTTCGTAACTTCAATTATATGTTATTTTCGTCTGCAAATACCGTTGCCCAAACAGAGACCAACGCAACCTCTAATAGCATTTGTCCTAGTTAGGAAAGACCATCCCCTTTGCTCTGAGAGGTAAGCCATGTGTGTTTGCAATTCTCAGGAAGATAAAAGCCGTCAGTATATGCAGATATTGAATCAGGATGCATTGCCCTTCAAGACAACACAGTGAATATGTGTAACTAAAGAATATTGGAGAAGTTTCATAGAATATTCTGTAGAAAATGCCTGTTCAGTAATTGTGAACTAAAATTATTTGGCAAGATCTCAGAAGCAGGCAAGACAGAGATCTTCTCTTTCAAAGGTAAAGCCCTTGAGGTGAGGGTGAGAATTGGCAATCATGAGGAAAAAAGCATGTTACACTTAATCTTATTTTTGCTCTCTGTCTTCATGGCTATATATTTTATTTCTTTTCTTAGGTCTTCTTGCAACAGTGCCTTCTAATCCAAATGGAAATGGAAATGGTGGCCTAATGGGCTATTCACCAGGAGAAAGCATTTCTGGTTGTGGTAGTACAGGAGGTCAGTGAAACTCTTTCGATACAGAGAATTATTGGAACTGAGCCACACATTGCTTTTATAATGCCCTTGACTGTTAGAAGAAAGAACTATTTTAGTAATACATAAATAAGAGCAGTATTAACATTGTATAAATCCATAGTGCATCAACATCTTGAATACTATGTACACCTTGGATTCCTCATTCTAAAAAGATGCAGCAGGACTGGAAATTTACTGATTTTTTTGTTGTTGTTGTTTTTTCTTCTTAGGCTTTAGGCAAGGTTAGAATCATATTGTGGAGGAAGATGGAGCTTGCTCTTCTCAGTCAGTACAGTTCCTCTCAACGAATTAAGTCTAGACTCCTTAAAGATGGGTGCTTGAGCTGTTGTTTCTTTCAAATTCAGACATGAAGAAGACAGGAAGGGCTTAGTTTAAAAACTTAACATTATGCGCACTCTTTTCTTCTTACAGGGTATAAATGTATACTTAAATGCACATATATACTTTTCACATTAGAAATGTATCCCTTTTGTACGAGATCACTGTGTATTCACCTGAATTGCCAAGTGTGAACTTGGAAAGACAAAAGCGTTAGAGCTTTGGACCTTTTCTGTGGTGGTTTGGAAAACAATAGTAAGAAATCCACAACTAGAAGTGTATTTTCTTTCTTTTTCCTGTCTCTCCAGGAGCTCAGCTGGGAACTGGTGATGGTCACACAGTTGTTCAGCCCTGTGCTCTGGGAGACTCTCATGCAGGAGCAAGTGGAATTCAGCAGCAAGGTATTATGGCAGTGCCTGTCTATAGAGGATCTCCAAATCATTGCAACTATGGAGAAACAGACAAAACATCAAAATAACGTGGATAGATTTTTGGTGACAGCTGCTGTCTGCAACTTGAACTGGCCTTGTTTTGGTTCTTGAAACATAAAAATGATTTCTTAGAGAGAATGTGCTTGTCTTGTCACTTACCTCTAAAATGCTCATCTAGAACAATATTTGTGTGTTTTGAGTGGGAGGGATCACAAGTGTGACTGAACAAAAATTAATAAACATTATCCTAGGTTACCTTAAATTAAAGGTACTGAAAGAAGCTCACTCTGTATTTGTTAGCAAATTTTGCATGTTATCTTTTCTTCGATTTCACTACCATTCTTTCCATGTATAATCCATTTCCACAGTTTTGTGTGGATATTCTCATACTGTGGAGGCAAATTTTTGTTACTTTAACTACACAGAAACTTGCGCTGTGGTTTGTGATAGATCGAAGTTACAATCAAATTTAGAACAACTGTTTCTTTCTCTGCAGTCTTAACAGACGTTGTATGTTTAGTGATCATGAAAGACTGTAATCTGTGTTTTTTGTTTAAGCATCCAGAAGATAACCGTACCACCACAACTGTTCAGAATAAGAAACCTTGCAACTGCTCTTGCTAATTTGCACTATTTATGCAGAGTGCTCAGTGTCAAGGTGCATTGTTTACATGAACCAGAAGATAGTTTGCATCTTTAAGTTAATTGCATTTGTTTTTCACAGCACAGTTATTCTAAGGATTCTCTAGTATTGCTGTAAAAGGGAGGAGAGACTTGGCAGAACAACTGTTAAAATTTATAAAAACTTTGAATTCAAATATTTGAATATATAAACATTGCAAATATAATGCATAAATATGTACGCACTTAATATTGTTCACTGTGCATATATAAGTGCATATATATTTAGCAGCTGTGATCTGCCATGAGGCACTTTATTGTGCATAAGAACTCTTCTGCATTCAGGATGGTTTCTGGCAGGATTTTTCTTGACGGTGGAAAATAAATCAATTGGCTCGTTGTTGTAAGAAATGTAACTGTACACTTGCTTGCAGTTCTAAATTTTATTTACTATAATAAATATCTACTGTATCTAAACAGGTTACTGTCAAGCAAGTAGTATCTTACACTATGCTCATGGAGACAATCAGCAATCACACTTATTGCAAGCAGGTAATTTAAAGAACAGCAAAAAAACCCTAAACGCTTTTTCCTGAATATATAAAGGTACAATGGAGTCTTAATGTAAATACTGGTTTTAAATTATCAGGAAGAACGGCTCTTGGTACTGGCATTAGTGCAGGGAAACGCCCAAATCCAGAAGAAGAAACTCAGAGCGTTGGACCAAAAGTCCAGCGACAGAGCACAAATTAAACTGGTAAGATCTGAGACAACTTAAAGTTATCCTGTTAACGAGTAAAATTTTGTACAGACTTTGTCTGTGATAACGTGCATATCACTGCAATGCAAAAGTTGCTTAATTATTGCCATTAATTTTTCTGTTCTAGGTACTGTACAAACAAACAATGCAAAATCCTGAGTCTAGGGAGTTTACGAAGTATGAGAGAGGAAGTAGTTATAAAAATAGAACCAGACTGAGGATTATTGGACACAAATCGAGGCCTTAATGAAAGGGAGATGGATAAACTGTGGTTTCACATACATTGGCAGAGCTGCTTATGTAGCTTCAGTTACTGTCTGCTCCCGCATCTCGCCTTAAGTTGTGCCAGCAGCACTGTTTGTGTGCGTGTACGGTGACCTGAATCAGAAGACTAACGCGACTTAAAAGGAAAGGCTCAGGGCCTGGGTTAGAGTGATAGACATACAAGTGGCTTAAGCAGAACATGTTTTAGAGAGGGGCTGCAGAAAACCTGTGAAATGCTGAGGTAGCTATTGCATGTGAAGATGTAGGGACAAGGAAGATTTGAAGACTTGAGCATTTGTCATTGGTCTGTAACTGAAGCAGGATGCTCAGATTGCTGAAGTTTGTCAGGAAAAGCTGTGGTGAAAAGAACCTGGATTTGGAGAAGGAGGCATTGCTAGATAGATATACACAAATAGACGTGAAAATGTGAGGGAGGAGAAGTCAACTGGAGAAAGGGTTTGATGTGTGAAATCATCAAGGTAGAGAAGACAACTGGATTTGTGTTTATAAAGTTCCTTAGGAACTTTAGGTTAGAGAAAAAGAGGACAGAGATGTTGTAACTCTTCCCCCAGTGAGCTTGATCTGAGAGGAATAAGGAAGATGACCTGAAAGACAAGTTAAAGAGTAATTGCTTGGGAGGCAAGTGAAAGAATGGAGGGCTTGTTTGAAACAAGAGGGAACAAGATTTCAAGACTAGGATTAAAGGTGGTTGTCATTCCATATTTATCTTTTAAAAAAAAGAAAAAAGTTAAGAGTTGGTTCTTACGGAGTTTGAAGAATAAGTAAGAATATAGCACATAGGTGAGATAATAGCACATGGCGATTTTGGTGGAATCGGAAGACAAGGATTCCATACTAGAAGATGCATTCAGCATCTCTAGAGATAAAAAGGGAATGACAGCAAGACCTAATTTGGCTTGTGATGTGGTGTCAGCACTTTTTGACAAAGTTACTGCGATGCGTTATGAAAAATTGTGTTTGTACTGGTTTGACTCGGTGAAGAACCACTGCATTGTTTCCAGGATGCCTATCACTGGAAGGGAGCCGAGACCTTAGCGATTGATCCATCTGCTATTTTCTCACATACTGGAAGCACCGTAAACTGTGCTTCTGTGTTCTCAAACTGGTTTCTGGTACTCGGATGGGCCTGAGTGGAACATAATTCCAAGAGAGTCCATGTTTCAGTAGCTGTCTAATCCTTAGTATGTGTAGATTCATTCAGCATCCATGTTTTGTATTGCAGAATTCCTTAGGTGCTCGTGTCTGTGTAGAAGAAGTGCCTGCAGAGCGAAAGTCTGGTTCCTGTCTAAGCTCTTTTTCAATTGAGAGACAGGTTGGAAGGGGTTCTAGTTTGGCAGAGAAGACTTCATTTTGTTAGGGGTGATCAAAGCATGCTGCAAAAGCACTATAGTCGAGGACAAAAATCAGCCAATGTCATACTCAAAATACGCTGGGAAAAGGACATGCGCCTTCTGAATAGCACTAAAGTATAGAGGCTGTTGGGTTTGTTTCCTTTTCTTTTTTCCTTGTTTTCTTTCTTTCTCTTCCCCTTTTAGCCTTTTAGGAGCAAGAAATAAGCATTCTGAATATTTGGGTGAATACTAATGGGGACAGGGTTTCCTGCACTGAGAAGCGGGGAAAGAATTTTGGTCCCTTGAGTTTTTTCTGCCTTCTTCAAAGACCTGCGACAAACTGCTTAAGAATAAATCTTTTTCTTTTTTTCTTTCAGCATTATTGGAAGAGAAGATACCACTCGAATGCACAGGACAAAATTCCTGCTACTCTGTATTGGAACTAAAGTGTTGTGAGAGTACATGTACTAAAATTACATACTTTTTCATAACTTATTTTCAATTGTTCTCAGTTGTTGTAAACAAGTCCAATTTTTGGAATGCATTATTTCTAACTGGCATTTCTATGGTTTTTAACTTTTTAATGACTCTTTCACAAAGGGCAAATTGAGTTTTGTATATAAAGTATTTGGTGAAGAATTTGCTAAATTAATGTAAATATAAACATTCATGATTAGCGATAGACCCATCAATATATTTTTGATAATCTTTCATGTATATGGTAGTAGAAAGAGCTGTAGTGATGTTCTGTTAAATGGATGGGTATAGAAGGTTTTGAAGTTTTTAAATTGTTATTATTTTTAGATTCCAGAACTTGACCTCTGTATGATCAACTTCATATTTTCATAATGTAAGTGCTTAGAACTGTGTCTAATCAAATACAGTAGAGTTGTAACCTTTATTAATCACATCTGTATATAAGTCATATGCCAATTTTTTGTCAAGCTGTAAAATTTTCATGTATATGTCCAGTCCTTGTATTTCCCAGTTGCCTTGTTCAGTAATGACATACCTTGTAATAAAAGAAAATTGTATATACAGATACATATGTCTTGTCTCTTGTGTATACTGTTGCCCTGGTATCTATTTCCAAAGAAAACTGTCTCAGGAAGAAAGAAGGGAAACGCAATCTTTAGACTTAACCTGGAAGCCGTGAACTGTATCCAGTTTCAAGAAAGTGAAGCAAAACACTATCCAAATTATTCAGGCCTTTTTGTTGGAATTGCATGGATGTATGTATTCTTACTATTCAATGTTCTTCATTCTTATTCAAAATCTATGTCATTGATTTCTTATTTTTTTTTTCTGTAACTTGCTCTAACTGGTAGTCTTTCCTGCACTGCAGCTAGTTTGTGGCTCTTCATGGATGTTGATTAAAAACACATCAGGTTTGCTGACTACTCAGTATGGTTTCAAGTGTTTAGAGAAGTTTTTTCTGTTTTCTCAGACCATTAAGATCTCTGAAGAAGCAGTCTGAATTCGTATGTTTTACATATAACTACATCAGTTACCCACTTGAGTGGGTCCACAAATAGCTTAGTATCAGATGGGTGATTTCCAGACATGGAGCACCTCTGTGTGTTGCTTTAAAATTCAGATCAGATTTATGGGTTGGCCCCATCTGCAGCAAGTGCATAATAAACTGCCATGGTTCTGCCTGTTCCTAGATTTTAGTTGATAACAGTTAATGTAAATACCTCCGTGTACTCCTTTGGATAAAATAGCAAAATCAAAAGCGCTGCTAAGAAAATGTGGGTATGCTTACAGTCTTGAGACGGAGAATCTTGGGCTGATCTTGAGGAAAATAAAATCTCAACAACACGAATGGAGAAGCACATACTAATATTTTCCACAGATTAGTCCAATTAAAATAGAGAGGTTTCCTGGGGACATACATAATCAGTAGAATAAAAAATTCTTCCGTTTTAGCAGTCTGGAAAAAACCAACACTATAGGCCTACACTGTCTTAGAGCGTGTTATTCTGTTAAGACAATATCATATTAGATTTTTTCTGCTGCTTTCTATTACAAAGAAAGCGTACCATCTAAATGAAATATCTCACCTAGCTTTTCTGAATGAATAGGATATGAAACTCCTACAGAGAAACTTCATCAAGGTAAGAGCCTATGCTTAAATTTCACCTTTCCCTCAACCAGTCTTGGAAGTTGAAGAGGTGAAAGAAGAAATTTCCCAGGGAGTTAACTCCTATGGTAAGTTAATTCCCTCCTCCTTAAATGCTAAAAGGAGAATTCTTCTTCTTCTTGGTGTATGCAAGTCCTTTATTAATCTAAAGAAAATCTGTGATGAAGATGCTGTTTCATTTATATGCTGGCTTGAAGGAGCTCTGGTGTCAGGACTGAAGTAGAAGAAGCAATCTATAAGTAGGTTAGTGTGAGAGAGGGGAGTTGCCTTCCAAGTAGCAGCAGGTTTTTAAAAAAAGCCCTTTACTTTATGTTCTTCCCTTCTACTAGTACTCTCTGTGACCACAAAAATAAATTAAAAAAAAAGGCTGAGACTTTGGCACACAGAAAAACTGGCCCAAACTATTGTAACGTGGAGAGATTTTCTCCCTTTGCCTCCAGTACGCCCTTGTGATTTTTCAGGGAGGAGTTGGGCATGTGTGTTCATCCCAGTATGGGTAAGGGCCAGGATATTGTTTCTTCTTAGACCTCTCCTCCAGAAATGAAGCTTAAAGTATTCCTTAAGAAAGCTCTGTTCCTGAGGGATTTAGCTGGCCCTTCCCTGAGTTGGTAGGGGATGGGGAGAGAAGTGTTGCAGACTCGGGCTTCTTGGAAACCAAATCCCAGGAGAATGTATTCTGGAAGCATGGAGGGATAACTGTAGCTGATATTTATGACAAAAGAAAAAACTTCAAATGCTTTTTAAGCCCCAAGGAACCAAGTGTTTCCAAAGGATCTTGCACAGACTGTCTCATACTGGTGCTACCTGCTCAGAGAGGTTTCCGAAAGCGGGGTATCAAAAGGCCCTGCAGAGGGGATCCTGGGCTGATTTGCAATGAGAGGTACTTGTCAGTTAGAAATCAGAAATGAGTTTTATACTGGGCATAGTGACACAGCTGACTGGTTTCTCTTGAAGAAAAGTGACATTTACATGAACCTTCCTGTAACTTAGAAACCTTGTCTTCGCACTTAGAAACTTCTACTTGGCAGGAGAATGAAGCAGCAGCGAGCCGCGACACATGTGTCCATCGCTTCCTCACCTTGTCAGGAAAAGGTAGTCCGCGAATGAAGCCTGGTACTTGTGCTCCTGCCCTGGGTGGTGGTTTCAAGCCTGGCTTCTGTCACATAGGACTTGCTGCAGTTGTCTGCAAATGCTTGGGGAATTGTATCCCTGTATTTACAGGTAGTTTGAGCTACTGAAAGTGATGCTGATAGGTAAAACCCAAAACCTCGTCAAGTTCTTGATATATATTTTCAATAAAACTGTTATTGTTGCCTAATTATTAGGCTCCGTGCATTTTATTATTTTAAAACTATACTTTCGAATTTAATGGTGTTGCGATTTTCAAAGGGAAAGGTCGCAAAGACGACAAAAACTTATCTACATGTGGATAAGGAGG